TTCAAGCGTCTTGGGTGCTCCATCAAAGTCGGAGCGGGCCAGCTCTTAGAGACTGGCATTCACAGGAAAAACAGCAAAAGTTGCCGGTGTGTAAGTCCCAAACGGCATTGGTGAATTCGTTGAAGTCTGTCCTGAAGGATCACCGGACTCCATCCGGGAACCCAGCCAAGCAATTCGGGCTGAGGCTTCAGGAACCATGCACAAAACGGACACTGTCATCAACATGGCCGCCATAGAGCTCTTGGAGCGACTGGTGAAAGGGCTCTTCGAGCATCTGGCCATTCCTTGGGACGAGGGCAAAGGACAGGTTGTCGTAGGTGAAGCCAGAGTCTTCATCGTGGTGCTCGTAGTGCAGGTGTGGCCCTTGCCCTCCTCAGTCTCATTCATGGGGAGACGACCTGAATGCTCTCCTCGCTGTTCTCCGAAGAGTGGATCTCGAACTGTTCGGCCCGCTCTGACACACGGGCGGTGCGAGGCTTGGTGCGACTCTGCATCGGCCGCACTCCCGAGCTCATGTGGCGACGCCGCTCGGCGCTCTGAGATCGAGACCCTGATGGGAGCCTGCCGCTTGTCGCCGGATTCTCTGTGGAAGAGCGAGCTCCGGAGCCGCGGTTGATCTGCTCGTCCGCTTGCCATTCAACTCTCTCCCAACGGCTGCCGCAATCCAGGCATGTCCACCAGAACTGATCCTTGGAGCCCCTCTGGCGCAGCTTGTCGTCGTCGTGTTGGCATTCCGATGGCGTGTAGCGCCATGTTGCACAAGCCGTGGAACGCTTCAAAGGCCTTCCAATGCCTCGCCGGATGCGGCCGTCGCCCTTGGTCTTCTTGCTCTTGGTCTCCTTCTCGGTGACCTGGGTTGAGGCGACTGCCGGATACTTGTTCCGGTTCATCAGGTGATCCATGGCCGACTGGCAGATCATGAGATCAGCATGCGCACGGTCATCTGCACCATGCGAGCCCATGCAGCTTTTCCGGCGTCGAGGCGCCTGTTGGCTCTCTTGATCCGACTTGTAGAGCCATCCTGCAATGCGACTCTGCATGCTGCTGAAGAGGTCGAGACGATCGGCTTGAACCACGAGCCAACTCTGCAGAAAAAGAAGCTGACTCGGCTGACGACATCGAAATGCTTGAAGTGCCAAAGGAAACTGCTTTCTTGCCAAAAGACTCAACTGCTCTGTCAGGAAAAACTTCATGAACATGTGCTTGCCTCTCTTCAACCAACGCCAAAACACTGCTCTTTGGGTCCTGCGCCTCTTCGCTTGCATCCGCCGTAGATGGCTTGGCAGCCTGAGGCGAGTGCAGAGTGGTTGCCATTGAGGTTGAAGTGGGGTTCAAAGAAGGTGTCGAAGAGGGTGCAGGGGTCGACGAAAGCTCGAAAAACACGTCACCCGACCAAAAAGGAAGTTGGCGTTGAGAAGGAAGGTGCCATGAATCATGGATTGTGATGGTATTGTCGTCCAAAAAGTGGGCACATGTAGTTCGGGATCGTGACAAAGAAGGCTTCAGGGCAGTATAGGGAGGATCTCGTCCGGGTGGACCAAGGTGTTGCGACCCGGCATGGATCCCATGAAGACCAAATCAGCTCCTCTTTTCAGCCAAACAGCGACTCCAGGTCGTTGCTGAAGCCTGTCACCTCCTTGGGCTTTAGGCAGAACAAAAGGATTGGCTCCTGACGTCATGGTGAGCTCTTGCGCCAGGCTCTCTGGCAACTTCCATCGTCCAGCAAACTCCAACACCGAAATGGTGCGATGCCCTGATGGGAGCCGGCGCATTGGTGTCTTTCTGCCTCCCTTCAAGGCAAAAAGTTTCGTCCTGTGTCTATGATTCCTCCAACCAGCTCGATGTACGAGATGGGCAAAAGGAAAGGCGTCTCGAAGCTGCCAGCATCAGCGACTTCTGTCACTCGCAACAAGCCATTGGTCTTGGCTATGCCAACCGGAACGTCAAAGACACCCCTGATGGTGGCTGAGCCGCCAATGCCTGCACAAGTCGCTGTGGTGCCTGGAGCTTCCATAGGCTGCAATCCATGTTGAGCCAATGCCAACCTCAGTCGCTGCATTGCATTGGACCCAATGACAGCCTCTTCGGCTGCAGTGTCTACTACAGCCTCAAAGCTCTCAGTTCGAACTCCAGCAAAAATCTCCAGCTGCTTTTGCACGGTCGGGTTCACGTTGACCGCATAGATCCTGGTCTGTTCCCGACCAGTGCCATGGCAAACAAAGAAATTCTGTGGAGCATCTTGATGCGGACAGTCTCGAGACATGTGGCCGAGGCCACCGCAGGAAAAACACTTGGTTCTGGACATGAGGTCGTCTGGAGTGCCGCGACCTCTGCCTTTGCCAATGGAGCTTCCCTTGCCTTTGCCTTTCTTGAAGGCACCTTTGGTCTTCCCTTTCTTCTGCACGGGCATTCCTGAACCCTTCTTGAAGAACTGACGTCCCTTTCTACGGGCCTGCAACTCACGACGCACGTCCTTGTAGGCGCTGTTGTACGCCCAGATGTACGTGGCCTCCTCCTCAGTATACTCCTCTTGAGGGTCGAAGAGGAGGTAGGTCAGGTTGCCTTGACCGTCACTTTCTGGTCCTTCACTTTCCTCATGGCCATCGTTGTCTTCGATGAGCTCTTCCTCATCATCTTCTGCCTCAGCTGCGCCAACATAGGTCGAAGCAGCTGCGAAGTTCTTTGTCACCTTCTGAACCAAGGCATCGGGCCTGTCCAGTGGCCGCAGTGCTGCGGCCGCCTGCTCAAAGGTCAACAGCGCGTTATACTTCACCGCCATGGCCTCTCTCTGGGCATCCGAGAGGTTTGCGTGCCTCAAAAGAATCCTGCCAGCGATCCTGGGAGGAAGCTTCTCCCCCAGGTGTGACTCCAACTCCTGCAAGGCAATCTCTTTGGCTGCAACGTAGCTTGACAAGTTCTCGTTCTTGTTCCGCTCGGTGCCATAGAAGAAGGCCTCAATGGCGGCTGGACCTGCAGCTTCCAAGTAGGGTCCGTACTTGGCCATTATGGCCGTGAGAATTGCAGCATAGCCATTCTCCGAGGTCAAAGTCGCCAAATCAACAGCTTCTGCAATCCGTCGAGGCGGCGTCTGATCACCGAAGGCCTGCAGCAATTTGAGTCCCCACTTGTGGCGAGGCAGATTGTTGTCCATTTCCCACAATGTCAACTGTCGAAGCCAAGATCTCAAAGTAGCAACATCGCCACTCCAAGTCGGAAGCGATTTCCGATCGCCAGACAACGCAGCTGTCAATGCTTTCAACATAGTCTCCTGAGGATCAACCGGCACAGTTGCAGCTGCATGAGCCGGTTTTCCCAGCATCTCAAAAGCACTAGAAACAACTGGTGAAGTCGGTGGCAATGCTGTGGCATCCAACTGCTGACAAAGACCAGCTGCAGAGAAGGGTGTGGGCATTGGTGCACTTGCTCCAGCGTTCGCTGAGCCAAGGTTTGGCGCAGCCTGAGCCAGGTTCCCTCTTGAAGGGGGTTGACCCATAGTCTGCCCTACACCATTCAAACCCTGCTGTCCAATCCCTTGGGGAGGCGGACCAAAAGAAAAAGGTTGACTAAACATGCCATGAACTCCTGCTTGCTGAGCATTCTGCGGAGTAGGGCTCATCAAAGGGTTCGCCATCATTGGCGTTGCATTCGCCGAAGTGACGAAGTTCCCAACCAGTCGAGGGTCTGATCCAAGCGTTCCTGAGGAAGTCATCCTTGGTCCCCCGAAAGTCGGCACTGCACCTGAGCAGCTCGAGACACCTGGAAAGGCAGCTCTATTCGAAGCATCGCCTGACGGCGCGGTAGTCGAAGGAGCTGCTCCCGACACGCCAGAGTAGTGCTGCCATGGATCTGTCCTAAGCCAGGGGTCCCTCGCAGCCATCGTGGCCAGTGCCTGGAGCAACCGTGGCTCCGCTGCCACTGATGCACAGCAGCAGGCCACAACAGTATTTCACACTCGATGGAAAAGGTCACCCCTCCACGAGGGGTCAAACATGGCACACCGCAATCGAATCGCGGTCGTTTTCACTCCGTGGAAACTGAGCCCAAGACGTCTGTGGTTCATGCCTTCATGACATGGCTGCGGGAGACCTCATGCTGTCCTCATGACTCCATTTCAAGTGACTCAACTACTACTACTACTACTACTACTACTACTACTACTACTACTACTAC